CGAAAACATCAGACGGCGCCACAGATACGCGAGCTGCAATTAATTGATGCATAAATCAGTGTCTGCCCAACAACAACCAGTCCAGCAAGTTGTAAACATTCTGATGAAAGTCGTCCACCTAGTACACGTAGCGAAAGTGACATTTACATACGCTGTATACAGGCTTCAGCCGGTCAACCACCACTACAGGTATACCAACCCATCGTCATTGCGTCGTAGCTCGTGGTGGTGCGATTCGTACTGATATAGCGAAAGTGACATTTACATACACTGTATACAGGCTTCAGCCGCTCAACCACCACTACAGGTATACCAACCCATCGTCATTGGGTCGTAGCTCGTGGTAGTGCGTTTCCTACTGATATTCCTCTCATTAATTTCTTTTGATAATGAAAGCCATACTTATGTGTGATATTACCAACACTGGCTGCTGGTAGTATAGTTACTGCGGTCACACCCGGTCTCTGCTGTTATTGCTACTCTACATATGGAAGCCGTCAATAATTGTCAAACTGCCATATTGGCTGACTGTCTGCAGCTTGCTTTAGTAAACAGGATGTGTTTTTATGCGGATCACAGTCGGTGTTAATGTAAAAAATGTAACTTCTGTTCGTTATTTTATATAATAACATAGGGTATATATTGTAGTAATTACACATTTCAGTAAAACTGTAGACAGAAACGTCAATACACTAATATAAACTATAAACATGCAAAGTGCCTTAAGTGTTAATGTACCCCTGACGCAGCAAACCTGCAAACTAAGCGATTCAAAATTTAAAATTTTTGGAATTTTCTCCGTAACCATTAGGCGCATAACAACGCTTCGATATACGAAATTATTTGTTTTTTAGCTCTACAAAATGGTTCGGAAAGAAATTGCAAAATGTTATGTTTTCAGGGTAAAAAAATTGGAAACCCATAAAACTCCATAAAACCCCCTCTAAACCACTGTTCCCATAGTCCAATCATGCTGGTTCGCGAACTCGTACGAATAAATGTAGGTTTACACGTTTGTACTAAATGTCATCAAAATCCTATCATTTTTGCTCGAGTTATAGTGCTAACGGACACACAATAAATAAATAAATAATGATAAATGTGAATTCGAACGGATGGCGTTTTTGGCCTCTAGGGACCTCAAACGAAAAAGTAAATTGGTCCCGGGTCCAGGTCTTACCATGAGTACTACGGTAATAGGTTATTCCCTATATGGAAAATTAGCTAAAATGAGAATAGAAGTTTTGTGGAACAAATATACAGCATGTTGTAAACTTAAGCTTTAAATAACAAAAAACTAATCGTCTGATCTTCTTGACATTCATTTCTAGCATTGACTATTGGATAGAGTTCAAGCCAATTAAACAATGAGGCTTGCCTGTATTGATTTGTAGCATAGTCTCATAGGAGGCTATATTTGTATTTAATCCCATTTATTTTTGTGAACGGTTCAAGTTTCATACGCGTCCCTCACAAACCTATTACAATTTTAAGGCTATACCTTAAGATTTAAGAGGTTATCCATAGTTATTTTTGGCACAATGAAGAAAATGCGAGTTAAAATTCCCACAGTAATTTGTGATCTAGATTGATACATTTTTGGTGGAACTTCATTTTATGGGACGCGTTGCAGAAAGTCAACAGTAACTAAATACTGCTCCCTTACCCTACAGTTATATAGTTCTAATATTCTTCTTCACTAAAACTAAAACAGAGAGGGATCAATACTTATTGAGAGTCACCTAAACGGTTCACAAGCATGGGAACTCCTGAACAACTAAGTCCATACCCATGGTTTCAACTGGTAGACAATAAACTGATTTCATGTTATAATGGAAGAGAAATCGATCGTTTCCTCTCGATTTTGTTACGTATCAGTACATATAAAAAATAACTCAGTACAAAATAAATTAAATCCACAACATTTTATTGGGTTGAAAATCCTAAATATGTATTTCACTGCCTATTAACTACTATAGCAGGCATCTCCTTTTCCATTTACATATTTTTATCGAGAAAATACATTCCACAAAACTCTTACTGAATGTGTGAATCTTAGTGACATCGACATCTACGAACTATCTAGTAGCAAAGCAATATGAGCCAAGCACTGCACCATTCTTCGTTAAGAAAGTGGTCTTAATACGACAGTACAGTATTATATCCGATGGCTGAAGTAACCAGTACACGTGTATTTGGAACCACAGCATTCGTATTTGGAGCAATTATAAAATGATGTATTTCACATGTTAATCAATAATTAGTTTTAGTATGTTAGCTTCACTAATTGATGACAATTTGCACTGTCAATTTGGCTTAAAAACGATTTATTCAGCTTCAGTGACTAGTAAACGTGAACTTAGAGTCGTAGTACTTGGGCCATTGGTCAGAAGTGTGACCACTACAACAGTTGTGTCAGTAACTACAGTAACGGCTCCATTGTCACCGTGTCGCCCTATACATGCTGCGACATTATCGTCAGTCTCGCGCGCCTTTTCTTATAACGGCCATTTGAATTTTTCATGCCAAGGTATGGTGTTTTGTACAGTAGTTTTGAACTGCTTGCACAGACCTATAAATTGAATTTGAAATTAAAATAAAGTTATGTCTTCAATTACGGTACAATGAAGTGAAATGAGGAAATTACGCATACGCAATTTTTACCACAAATCACAGTAGCTAACACGCCTAAGATCGAGTCTAGATATCTTAGCTGATATTAACCTTCCTACATGCGTTTTGCACAGTGATAAACGTGTTTTTAGTGTGGCCTTGGATAAACTAATCAGATATATTTACTAGGCCATTCAAAACTCTCCAACCAACAAGGAAAACAAGTCAGCAATACAGTTTGTACACGTAGTGAATTTGTCTCCATCTATTTAGCAATAATGGATAGTTATTTACCTCGGTCGAACAAGAAACCACACACCAAAAGCTCAGTTATGCTTAAGGAAATAAGTATTGAATCAACAGAAAAATCCTTTTTTCAGTAAACCACCAAGATAATTCCAATTACACATGCACCTCTTGTACTAAAATGTCTCTCATAACTCTCATTTTACAAAGTAAAGATTCAGAATGGAGATATTTCGACCCATTATATTGGTTACAAGCTATATTACATAAACAGTTTCAAAACTCATTTACATTGTTCTTATTTATTTGATGGCATTTGTTTGCTGACAGTAGGCCTATTACACAGCACATTCAGGTCGCACCTTTTGCCCGACTCCGACACGACAGATAAATTTACAATCGTCAGATCATTTATCATTTGCAGCTTTGATATAGATTGTTGGGAGGCAAGTGCACATAGAAGATACAAAAGCTGTAAACAAAGCTAAGGGATAGAGGGAGGTTTTAGTGAGGGGAGAGATTCGTAAATGATCTCTTTTACGGCACTTGACGGAGAGAGACAGAGAGAGAGAAACAGCACACGTGTCCCATAGTCGACAGTCGAATTGGTAAACTACGTGTATATTAAAAGTTAACTTTTTACTTTAAATTATTTTAATAAATTTTAGTTTACACATTTTGATGGTCCTAAATATATATATGGCTTTTTAAACAAGGAAATAATATGTGGGTATATTCTTGTCTTGCACATTTGAGATAACTAATGTTTTAAAACCACTCACATCGATATATAATTTATAATCTTAATTTATATTTCCACTACAGTACTATAAGTTCTAGGGTTTACATGGACACACACGCTTGCACGGGAGTCGAAGCGTCTAAATTAATCCGTAGATTGCGTGTGAAGGTTATATAATGCTATATGATCCATTTAAACTAATCATACACTGTGTGAGGTCTAGCAAGTCGCTGATCGGCACGACGCGGGACGCGGTCTTCTTTCTTCCGGCGGAAGTTGATCATGACTGCGACTATATGTGACGATAATGAGTGAGATAAGTGCGATCATCCGGGGCATTAGCACGAGAGCTGCTTTTAGCGGTGTAGTCTTCGGGGGTTCGGTAAGACCTAGTCCCGGGACCGCTTCAAATATATATTTATAGAAATACTGTAATTGTCTGTTTGATTCCATCTTGTAAAAGTTTTCATGAATTTATATTATATTATTGAATTATCGTGGATAAGTTCAATCTACTCTATATACTTTATAGACTAGGGCATATCTTTTAGATAGCTATTGCCTATTATTATACAGTAATTGACCATGATTTTATAAAGGATTACTGTGATGTTTAAGGAAATAGTTTAGTGAAAATCTGATCTGAAAAATGGCAATTCACCTGCAGGTATGCTGCGGTGGGTTATTTTAGATAGTGTGATGTTATCAAAAACCTATACAAATTATAAATTGAAAACTATGTGGTCATATTTATAGACAGCTAAGTTAGGGAATTCGGTCCTTCATTAAATCAAATCAAATATTCCTTTTAGCGAATTTCCCATATAGGGAATAAGCTATTACCGTAGTACTCATGGTAAGACCTGGACCTGGGACCGATTTACTTTTTCGTTTTGAGGTCCCCAGAGGCCAAAACACCCTCCGCTCAAATTCACACACACACATATATATATGTGCCCTTTAGCGCGATAACTTGAGCAAAAATGATGGGTAATTGACAGTTCACAGGTTAGTCTGTGGGTCAGTCCGTAGCGCGACGAACTGCGAATCTAGGGCAGCGACAGCGGTGTGTCCTGGTCCTGATGCCAGCTAACTAAATCTTATCAGTTAGTTGTTAATGTAGTTCACTGTTGTATTGTAATGGCCCATCCCTTGCTTTGATGGATAAGGTCACAGGCCCTTGTGGATGGCAAAATCTAAGGCTAAAAGAAGCCGCTAACCTCTTCAATTAAATTAATTCGAAACCTTTTGTCTACAGTATTACATTTTTCAGGATATTACGAACTTTGTTGTTGTTTTTGACCATATATTCCGCCTCTCTTCAAATTCAAAGCACAACCAGTTATAGGCTCACCGTGACCCCAGCAGAATGTTTGGTAACAAGTCAGTATTGTTACAGAAGGAGACCCCGAGCGACGTCCGCCTCCACCTAGCGGCCGTGAACGGCGACCTCAAGGTCATCCGCAGACTCTTGGACAGTGGGAAAGTCCATGTCGACTGTCGGGACAAGGTAAGAGGCTTATAATAGTTTCAGTACCCTTACGAAAGCTACAACCAATCTACAGCTATAGTCGATTCAGCAGTGCGTCATTGTGTAGTTCATCTATGAAGTTGAGCGCCATGTTTATGGTATGATCATATGGCAGAATCATACTGTTTGTGTCTGTGTCATATTCATATTCATGAGACTTCTCTATTTACTTGCAAAGTGACTAATGTCGTCATGGCTGTGTTTAAGAAATAAACATAAGTTTTAAGTCTCCATCGCACGCACCACTGATTTTCAGATTCGTGAAATATAGAGCTTGGTGTAAATCCCACTTCCTTATGTTGTAGAATAATAACACAAACAATGAGCTGTTCAATTTATATTCCATCACTAATCTCGAAAAGCCACCTATTGCATATGGGTCGAGATGGCACTTGATGAGTGTAAGGCTGTAATTACTAGACACTTACATATTTACAGCTCAATTCAGAATGAGTGTAGACAAATAATGGTATAGTCTAATATTGTATGTAGTTTTGGTGAATTTCCCTTTAGGGGAGGATCTCTTACCGTTGGTGACACGGAATAACCACAATCTGCAGGGTTGCTGCGGCGGAGACATTGTACTACGAGTGTGGGTCATTTCATTAACAAGGAAGGACCGTTTATTAAAACCCCAACAATCGTTGACAGCCCTTGGCTGGATACAGTTTAGGACCATCACAATTTTACCGACTTTTCTCCGGATCCAATATTGTACCTTCGGATTACTACGAGCACTGTAATCTCTCAGCGGCTGAACCCAGCGGAGACTTGGACACGCAAACTTGTCGCTGCTAGCATAGATTAAAGGACTCCTTCAAATACTAACTTTATTATGAAGTGTCAATAAGTATGTATCGTAAAGAGGCATAAATTTGAATAATAAATATTCATATCATCAAAACATTAATTACTTTCTCTCTGTCTGGATAAAAAGTAAAAGTCCTTGTGGAGAAATGTTACGTATGAAAATGCTTGTTTTCGAACTAGCACCATAAAATGATTAAGAACATAAAATACTAAATATAGAGTAGATATTAAATTTATAAAAATAATTCCTCGTAAAAAATGATTTTTAGACCGTAACGATGGAACGCGAACGCAAATAACATTTTAGGTCCTAATATGCATTTGTTAAAATGTTAAAATGCATCGTTAAAATCACATAATATACAACATATTTACGAGTTGCACGTCAGAATACTTTGGACAATAAGACGCGCACAAGGCACAAGTAGGATTCTTGTTGTGGAAGAATACAGAGAAAGTGCCATGTTGATATTTACCATCCGTTACGCAACTTGCAGGTCTTTGCACCGACGCCGCCACATTCCGCCGTCGTGCCTTGAAAACAGCTGACATGCATTCATTCAACAATAAAACAGCTGTGTGTGTGTTGTTTGTTTCGTGTTGCTATACTTGTTTCTAGCTTATCATTTGACTCCACCTCATAGTTAATGTCATGGTCTTTTTTACGCTTCTGAATTGTTAGGTGATAGTTATTGTAGGTACATTCAACAAGTACGCACATAGTGTCGTCCCCATCTTAAATAATTGATAATTGATATAACTAATTTCACACATTCATAAGATACATTTTTTTAAATTCTGGTTCATCAATTTGTATTTATTAGCGAATTTCCCATATAGGGAATAAGCTATTAATCAACGTAGGTATCATGGTTAGACTTGGACCCGGGACCGATTTACTTTTTCATTTTGATGTCCCTGATCCTCAAAACATAAAATTTCACAAATTTTCTCTAGACCATTTTGAAGAGCTTGAAAAAACCAAATAATATAGTATATTGAAGTGTTCTTGTATGGTTATTGGTTATGGAGAAAATTGTAAATAAAAAATTCCCATGTCATTCTTATGGAGACTAAGTAAACTGTTGTAGTTTGCTTGTTCATGGATATATATGGATCAAACTTGGCAAATCTATTTATACTAAGCTATTAATCTTTTACTAAAATAGACACTTTATTACGCTCCCTGTATGAAGCAAACCTAGGTACTCGTTAAACCATATGTTATTTGAATAGATTTAATTGAAAATCAAATCAGGCAAACGGAAATTTGATTAGTATGCAGGTTTGCTGCGGCGGGGGTATAAATTATATTACATGGCCATCATCTGTAAAAACATGCTCACAAAAATAATAAATATAAGTTTTTAAATTAATTAATTTAGCATTTTCAAATTCCCTTTGAATATAAGAGAAATGTGAAAAGGACGAAATTTCACAGAGAGACTTTATTATGTTTTATTACCCAAACCAATTAAACTTGGCCAATTACTTACAGTTGTTAATTAAAACTTCTAACAGTTATGGTAATGTGTGAGTGTTGATGAAGAAATCACACTTCATAAGTAATTCTAAACGAAACAAATGTTCCCTTAACTATTAACAATTTTTATTTATGATTATTTGGTGCGACTTTTATTATAACATGCTATGACTCCGCGCAAAGTCTTCAGGATCGCCATTATTTGTGGGGCTGTTAGCTACAATCTGTTTGGTTACATACAAAATGTTCTAGTGAAACCAATAGATTTATAGCAGTTGGAACACTCAATTGTTTATTGGCGAGGGCATATTTTAGTTGCAATATTTGGCAGTAGAAACATTAGATCATCTGTAAGTGTAGAGAATAATCCGATATCATAATCACGTTAAATGTTAAAACTAATAATGATAAAATATATTTACGATTATATAATCCAATTTTCCATGTAGGAATTAAGCTATTAAAATATACGTTCTAAATTATATACTGTACAGTAAATGTATCTTCCCATTTTGATGTCATTTCGTATAAACAAGTAAACCTAAGCCATTATTCAAACGAGTTCACACAAACCAGCAGGATCAGACTATGGGAACAGGGTTTTATGGGGTTATTATTTTTCCAATTTATGGCCCTCAAAACATAAGATTTTGCAATTTATTTCCAAATAATTTTGTGAAGCTTAAAAAAAAATTCCCTTGTAATATTCTTATGAAGAATAAGTAAACAGTAAGTTTAGTTTGCTTGTTTATGAACATACTCGTATTTTGATCAAATTTAGCAAATTTATTTATTTACTAGTAAGCTATTGAAAAAAATTGCATTTCACTAAAACATACTTTATTACTTTACCTGTAGCAGCAAATCTAAGTACACATTAAAGCTGTTTTTTAAATTCGGAATAAGTCTGACATTTTAAAGAATATGTTAAGTGAAAATCCAATCAGGGAAGCGGAATGTAAATTCCATTTTCCTGGTCGGATTTCCAATTAAATACAGTATTCCCTTAAATTTTGCCCGATCATGTTGACCTATGGTAATACCATTGAATGCTGAATAGTTGTATTGTAGTAATAATAGTCAAAGGCAAAGGTAATACTGTAGCTTATTCTCTATATGGGAAATTTCCCAAAAGACTATAGTAAATGTGAACAAATTCAGAACTTAGCAGGACTGTTTTGTGTATAGTTAGTTGTTACATGTGCAGGTTAAAATAGCTATAAATGACATACATGTTTCAGTTAATTTTACCAAAAACACAAACGGTATGAAAACATCTATGGTAATAAGGATGGACAATTTAAATGATAATAAAGTACCTGATCAACAAGCTCAAACAGGATGCTCTGCCATTTTAGAATGTGAAAGTAACTCAATAATCTTACTTTCTATTACTTTATCATCACCTAGCTAGGAGTCCTCTGATACATTAAATAGCCAAGAAACCATCTATAAATTAACAGATATTTACAAAAGTGAAAATTGATCAACTTTGAGATGTCTCTTTTAGTGAATTTGCCATTTAGGGAATGCTATTACTAGGTCTCATGGTAAGATCTAGATCTGTGACTATATTACTTAAAGTATTACATATAGTATTAGTAAATTGACAAGTGTTATCCTGTAAAGCAGTATATACTGAGGAACGCTTGCTAAATAAAGGAATTTTTGATTTGATTTGATTTGATTTGATTACTTTTAGCGAATTTCCCTATAGGGAAGTAGCTATTACCGTAGGTCTCATGGTAAGACTTAGGCCCGGGACCGATTTACTTTTTCATTTTAATGTCCCCAGAGGCCAAAAACACCATTCGTTCAAATTTTTATATATGTATATATATATATATATATATATAGGTATATATATATATATATAGATTTATATATATATATATGTGTCCGTGAACACGATAACTTGAGTAATTTTTATCCGATTTTGATGAAATTTGGTTTGAAGGTGTAAGGCGGGATAAACTTGAATGAGTTCGCGATCCAGCATGATCGGACCATGGGAACAGGGTTTTATGGGGGGTTTTATGGGGTAAAAATTGGTTTTTCTCACTTTTTACCCTCAAAACACAAAATTTCCCAATTTTTCTCTAAACCGTCTTAAAGAGCTTAAAAAAACAAACAATTCAGTATATCAAAGTGTTTTTGTACGGTTATTGGTTACGGAGAAAACTAAAAAAATTGTAAATTTAAAATTCCCATGTTATTCTTATGGAGAATATTGTAAAATGTTGTAGTTTGCTTGTTTATGGATATATTTTGATCAAACTTGGTAAATTTATTTATTTTATAGTAAGCTATCAATATTTTACTAAAAACACACTACTTTATTAGTTTCCTTGTAGCAGCAAACCTAGGTACTCGTTAAACCTAATGTTATTTAAATAGATCAATTGAAAATCAATTCGGCCAAATGGAAATTCGCTTAGACGGCAGGTTTGCTGCGGCGGGGGTATTTTGTTTTGATGTCTCCAGAGGCCAAAACACCATCCTTTCAAATTCATATGTCTACTATACTATAATACTACAGCATATATTTTTATTTATACAGGATGTCCCATAAGTAAACAGCCAAACTGGTGAGTCGGTGGCTCAGTTGGTAGCGTCACGGACTTCGGGCCCAAGGCAGCGATGTCGTGGGTTAGATACTGGCCACTGCCACTAAAATTTATCAGTACAGTTCACCTTCATACTGTGCCGGCTCATTCCACGCACAGATCTGTAGTCTATGTGGACGGGCAAATGCAAGGTTAAAAGAGGCCGCCATCCTCTTAAAAAAAAAAAAAAAAACTCCGAGAAATGATTATACTGTACTTAAATATGAGTCAAACTAATGAAAAATCAATAGGCCTTGTAACAATTGTTTAATCCCTGCATTCACCAGATTTCCACCATTTTGTATTTTTACATTTAAACATTTTAATGTTTGGATTGTTTAAATCGATCTTGACGAATCTTGGTATGATATGTTAAGGTAAAAGATATCTTTAGAAAAAAAAGTATATATATACTTGGTCCATTCAGAATTTTAAAATGGCAGCCATTTTAATTTTCATAATTTATAAATTATAAATTGACGATTTTATAAAAATATTCTAGATATCTTTCATTTATCATTTATAATTTCCTATGAAACTACACCAAATAGCTTAGCCTAAATATCACAAATATTGAATACATTTCCAGCCCAGTTTATTTAGAAATCTTTGGAGTTTTTCTCGAAACAAACAGACAAAATAAACCAAGTCTTCTTTAAACTGTTATGGATTACATGTTATGTATTTACAATCCCATAAACACCCTCCTGATTATACATATTTGGATTTTATATGTAGGCTAATACTGTTTTGTTTTATTTGTTTGCCAGCTGTCGTTGATTGTTAGGCTTAATAAATGGTCCTTACTAATGAAACAGCTGATCTTGGTTAGTAACATAGCTAAAGATCGCCTCACACCATTCTTCATTCTACTGAATATGAATACGTATACGTACTGAATATGAATGTAAGCCTTCCATTCATATTCAGCTTATACAACTCAGAGTGTGTTGGTGTCAAAGAATTGATATTTGCTTCTAATTATATTTCCCTCTGTTGGCAGGATGGCACCACTCCTCTGATCCTGTCATCTGCTAACGGTCACCTGGAGTGTGTTCAGGAGTTGTTGGAGCAAGGAGCAGACCCTGCTGCACGACGAGTGGTCTGTACTGCATTTAAATCTTAAAACATTTACAAATTAAACAGTTTTTATTACCATTTTTGTTTATTAGCCTAGCAGGAGGTCACACTGAATTGAAAACGTGAGGAATTTTCGACTGAGTACATAAAAAAAAACATATTTCAGCTTTAATTTTAGTTCCTCAAAATCGTAAAAATGGTGTAAAACATTTAATTCTACAAGCCTCACTAAAGTGGAAAAACATACATATACAGCATAGTGTAGCACATGTTTTAAATTGTGCACTGAAATGAGGAATATAACATACTAGTAGCGTATTTCGGCGTAGTGTACAACCGAGGAACAAACTATTTTGTTTTTCTCAGAGCGTATTGGAGCGCATTTACGTGCAGACACGCTTAAAGTTAATACTAGTCCCTTTTCTGCGCCAATTGGGCTCCTCCAATTAGTTGTCAGATTCTCCCAATCATTCTTCACCAAACTAAATATGTAATCGAACGTTGTAGTCGACATTCTTGTGTAATCCATAAACCGAGACTCGTGTTTCCTAAGGATTGGAAATACTCGTAAGTGGTGATGTTCACCATGTTTGTCCCTGCCTTTACACACTTCATGCAGCCCGACACTCCTCGTACTAATCAAAAACTGCCACCTAAGGTATTTTCGACAAGACTAATAGCCGTATTCGACAGAGCCATCCTCTATACTGATGTACCTTATTAATACCGTCTACAACCTATGCGCTATGCTACGCTGCGCTCTCTGTGTGTATTGGACTACGCTGTGCTCGGCTACCCTACGCTGCGCTGCGCTACATTGCGCTACATTGTGCTACCCTACGCTGTCTGTATGTTTTTACACTAAACGTTCAACATTCACATCTCTTTCTACGCTCAAAAATGGACTATCAATCCTATACTTTACTTGTTAGATTCCACGTCCAGCCATTGAGAGTTACATAAATACTTCTCTGTGGCCCAGCACAATGACAATACTACTAATGGATTAAAACTGTAACCAATCAACAATTAAAAGAAGAAAAAAAACGTTTTAATAAGCATTCACTTACAAACCACGAAGAGACACACACTGTCTTATTGTCCGATAATTCCAACACCCGATGAGACGCACAGGGTGAGAGTGTGGAATCCACCAGTACTTGACAAAAAGCTCTGTGGCTAGACTGACATGAGGAGGTGAAGTATGGCAAAAACTAGTTCACATTGTTTAATAATTTAATACTTTATTCTGAAATGGCAATCTTTTTAGGAATGTAGGTATTTTAAGCCATGTATAAATGGAGATGACTGTAGGATGAGTGGCGCGATTTTGTAGTCTTATAGTGACTAAGGTCGAATAAGCAAAAAAGTCATATAGAGAAAAAAATGTTACTCCATTTGTTGAAGATGAAAGGGGTAAAAGACAGGTATGCAGGTTTAAGTCGACGATTTATGTGGCATGTAGCATACCAAAACAATTAGGAAGTACACGCACAGTAAGTGCAGGTGCCAAAAAACAGGCACTTTTCTGCTGACTACAGACAGAGGCAACGAATTGTCGTAAGATGCTTGCTAAGGTTAGTTATCCCACAGGAATTATAAACAATTTAGTCGTCTTCAGGTAGGATAAAATATTCTGAAAGGTCAGACAGTTCAAGATCGGATTAACACGACTATATATCGTAGCAATGAAGTCAAAATTCATGAAGTCAGTATATATGGCTACTAACTAAATTGATGATATCCCTAAAATCAGAATAAAACGATGTATAGGATAATTTACTGTTGAATTTGCTAGTGTAATTTAAACTGCCTGATTGTATTGTGCTGATGAGTGATGACTGTCTTGTTCTCAGACTGGGACCACAGCATTGTTCTTCGCTGCCCAGGCAGGTTACATGGATGTAGCTCAGCTGCTGATAACTCACCATGCCCCAGTCGACACTCCCAGCGTGGTGAGTGGTGGACAGATACAATAATAAGTAATATAGACTATAGCCACAATTAAATTGGATATGTATTGGAGTCAGTCAAGGACTTTTAAATTGAATACCATGTATTTGAATCAGTTACATTTGCAAGATAAATAGTTTTATTTTAGATTAAAACAATAAAATGTACATCAATGTTTACTAGTGTATGCCAAAGACATTTTACCCATTACACTATCCTGCTTTCTTTTGTGAGTAAAACTGCCCAAACCCTAGTTCAATCTTGTTACTTATTTTGCTAATTACTAGCTGACCCGGCAATTGCTGATGAATGATTTTTGTGAAATACATGTGACAAATAATTTATGGAAAATTTGTGTGTAATAAGTTTATGAATTATATTTTCGAAACCATTTAGTGTACCAAATTAAAAATGCTTATATACCGTTGTATCTGTTCAATGTTCATTCAATTATCTATTAGCAGGCAAGATAATTTGTAACACAATAAACCGCAAAATCAGTACAGCTGTTGTTCATGAAAAATTTGTGAAATAAACATTAGTTAACAAATGTAACACGTAAATTCAAATGTATACCAGTAACTTTCCTGTTTTAAAACTTGTCATGCTTCATTTTCTGTCCAACAAATAGCCACATCATCAGAATGTGCTATTGTTATAAGGCTGATGTTGTTGAGCTGTAATTGGTTTTGTAATTGATCTATCAAGTGACAACCAACAATCATTCTTCTTGCTATGCCAGAGTCTATATACCTATCTTTGACAAACCAATCTTGTGAAAGTGACTTGTTGGTTCATTTTAAAATACATACACACAATAATTTCCCATCACTAGGCTATTAGTTTTTTTATCACAGAACAAAAGATGATTAAATTCATAGATATTATTGTATATCCATCCTCAGAAGGGCAGTGACAGGCAAAACACATTTTTTTTACTACCATATTTACTATAGAATATATATAATCCCAGTATTGAATGTAAGTGACACAAAAATCACATGCTTGACATGACATAATGCTGATGTATCAGGGTTACAAACCGCTGACTAGGATATCGGTGACACTTGTCTGGTAGGTTGTATTGTGAGTAGTGTGGTAGGCTGAGTGACTCATCTCTGCTACCTACTCAGTAACGGTACTGCTGTGCTGTGATTTTCTAGTTTCAATTTGATTAACACGTTCGCTACCCCGATCATTGCCACAGACCGTGGTATACAATTTAATCTTACACATAGACTGGCTGTCACTTGGTTAACAGTACACACAGACCACGGACGAAGACCTGTTAACACATTCGCTGCTGAAACCTTTAAACAGGCGCTCGCCAATGGCGGCGAGGCCCGGGCGGAGCCCCGACGCGCTAACTGAATCAGCGATCGCTATTGGTATTGAAATATCTCAGTAAGACGAATCACAAAAGAGCAGTGGTGATTGTTCTGCGTTACTCCGAAAGTGGACGTAGTTCACTGAAACACCCAAAGGTAGCAGCACTGCCTGGGATCAATAACCAGAGTCTTTGTAATACGGCTCGAACTGAGAAAATCCCCGAAAACGGGACAAAAGCATTGCCAGACGGGATTTTACGGGCAATTTTTGTACCAACCTACACCAGAATAAAGCTCGCATTATAAGCTACAGGCTGGTAAAGATTACAACGTTCTCCGACAATGGCTGAGCTCACATTGAAACAATAAACATGACATGGCGCGCTCCCCCACCCGTGGACCCCGCTCCTCAGCTGAGACGCGCGGGGTCCACCGGTGGACCCGCCGCATCGAATGTGTTAAACAGTGATCATTTACTTTGTAATACTCTGCAGTCTTGTTTGTAAATCATATATTCTTGTTTTTTATATATTTTTGATAACCTTTTGTAATGTTGTATATTTGAGACACCCGGTCTATAGCAAAGACAATAGTGAAAATTATAATACTTTTTTTTAAATAGCCCAAGCGTTGCATATATGCGACGGTTCATTTTTGTTATGTTTTTAGGTGAAAGTACCGGTAAGTAAAAAAAACATATTTTTCAAGAACAAATATATAAAAATTGAACAAATATAAAAGCTACATAGGATAATGCAGCATACATACAGTGATGCAGCAAAGTAAAGAACAGTTTTTACAACTGTTATATGGCGTCACCGATCATCATATCCACAGACCAAGAGACGCAGTTGTGCGAAAGACATCACTGGTAGACCACTGCAGAGAATTCAGTACTTTCAAATAGACCATTACAAAGATATAAGCGTTTTGATAACATTGGAACGCCGACGCAAATATGCGACTTTAGACTAATTTAATATGACTCAGTCTATGGGTAGAAACCAGCCGTCGCATATGTGCGTCGCTGGTCCAGATATGAATGAAAAATCTTGTACTATTGCGGTAGCGAACGTGTTAAGTTTAAAGGATTACTAGTTTTAATACTAAAAATATATATTGATAAATTGTTCTAGAGAAACAGACAATAATGTAATATTTGGAAGAGTGTTGGCAGGTGTAATAATGAACTGTTATTATGGCTAAACTACAGAATTCTGTGTACTGTAATGATAATGTTTCAATATCATCTATGTAACTTATGGACAAATGATTTCAACACTATTGTAAGTCGATGTGGTTTTGAAAAAATATATAATAAGAGATTAATAGGAGATAAGATAATAAGAGTTAGTGAAAATCTGTTGTTTAACACATTGGGTGCGGCGGTATCCATATGGATACCTGGAGTCCATCACGTAGAGGCGGCGGTATCCATATGGATACTTGGGTCCTCCTGAACTTCAATATTTTCCTGTGGCTCAGCCGTTTGATATTTCGAACTAATACTTTGTAGCCACCTGCGTTGACACAGTTGAATGACCGTGGTGACCTTGGTTTCTATTTTTGTCGCGTTATCAGTAGGGGGGGCGGGATGGGGGTGGGCGAGCGCGCCACGTGCGTTTGTTTACGACCCTTTACAGAATGTTTCCACGTTAGCGTGTAGTGGGTGACTTGCTTTTTGTTGTGTTGTAGGTTGGTAGTAAAATTTCCCCATAAAATCCCCGTCTGGCAAACTTAAAAATCAACTTTTTGTCCCGTCTTTCTCCCTCCAATTGTTAATACGATGGGACCGGCTACGTTCCAAGCAGTGCTGCTATATGTGAGTGTTTAGCGAACTACGTCGACTCTTGTTATAAAACAGGACATCACCGCACGTTATTTGCTATTCGTCATACCGAAATATGAGAGCCAATCACCCGGCAATCGGGTTTGTTCGACGCTGCGGGCTGCGCCGCACTGGGGCTACGCCTGCTGTTTGATGGCCCGCAGCGAACGTGTTAATGTGTCAACACTGCTGTGCACTCAGTGGTGGCTGGCATAGGTTAAAGGCGTATAGGAACTCAACCAAACAGGAGTTGTTACAATGCAGTTGTCTGCTCACTATATTGGAATATTATTTATTTTTATTTACTATCTATAATATTAAAACGAAACAGTGTTTTTTTATTTTACGATTTTGAATCAACCACTCGACGGATTTTCATGATTTTTATGTTGAAAGAAAGATCATTTTGAGAACTAGGGAATGTCGAAGCCATAATTTTAGTTTAGGGTCCCAGTTTTTTAGAAATTAAGTTTTAATTTTTTAAAAGTCTAGAAGCCGACGCTAAGATTCTAAACTAGCTTTTGGCATAAAATAATTTGTTTAACTCAACAGCTGTAAGCATTCAGCTTTTGTGTCACAAATACAGCATTTGGATAAAATTAAAAGACATACTAAGAGTTGACTTATTTATACTATGTGTAATGCTAATCATTGATACGTTCAATCCTTCTAACGTGTATTCACTTATACAATTAAAAAGTACAACTTAGTAAAACGAAACTTGACTTTAATCATGTAAAAACTAACTGACAACAAAAAGTAAACAACCTTGTTATTTTTATGTAACATATGGTAATAAATAATGTGAACTCTATACAGACCAAAAGCACGAACACTTCACCTTCTCGCCGAGATTGAACTACTGTCCCTGTCTTCAAGAAGGTTTTTATGCTTTAGTTGGTCAGCGTGTTTTTTAAAGATTCTTCTATCGTTACCTTCAACTTTCCACACGTTTCGCCCTAGTCTCTTCAAGATTACGCCGGGTTTCCACACAACATTTCCGTTTCTGGTTTCTGCCCAAAACACAGGTTCATTTATTTTGAAGTTTTTTAGGCTAGTAGTGGCTCCTTCTTTATTCTCTTCCTCTTTTGTTTTATCTTCTTTATTTTCTTCCTCTTCTGTTTTAATCTGACTTCCTTTTTGGGGTTGAACTAAATCTAAGATACATCTTAGCTGACGTCCTAAAAACAACTCAGAAGGTGACATTCCAGAAGTTATGTGTGGTGTTAACCTGTACTTAAATAAAAAGTTGTTTAAGTCAGCTTCCAAACCTTTAGGGGATTGTTCTTGGCAAAGTTTTCTCAACGCCTGTTTCATGGTACCGACGTATTTTTCAACTTGTCCGTTGGAACACGGATGGTAAGGTGGAGTGGTTACGTGGTCGATTCCAAATGCTTTACAAAACTGTGCAAATTCTACGGACGTAAAACAGGATCCGTTGTCTGTCACTATGGTTTTAGGGATTCCATATCGGCATATTAGCAGCTTAATTTGTTTGATTGTTACTGAAGTAGTCATAGAGTTCAACTTGATAATTTCTGGCCAACTGGAGTATGCATCTACGACCAAAAGAAAAACACTATTAAGGAAAGGTCCAGCGAAGTCCAAGTGTATACGGGTCCAAGGGTCAGTGCATCTCGGCCAATTACTGAGGAACTTTCTCTGTGGTTCTCTTGCAGCATACAAGTTGCATAGTGCACAAGTTCTTGCCACGTTTTCGATGTCACTGTCCATCGATGGCCACCAAAAACGATCTCGGGCCAACGCCTTCATCTTTACCATTCCTAAATGAGTGTCGTGCAGGTACATAAGTAATTTCTGCTTGAACTTTTCTGGGATAATTGCT